TACTACTACATTAATATTGCTACTGCTAATACAGGGATTATCAACACATCAAGTACTACTACCGGAAGTAACACTACTAATAAAAGTAACTAATAAAAGTAACTATTGCAAGTACTCTTAATAAGCTCGGTTTTTCTGTTACAACTTTACTACTCAACAATCATCATCATGATACTAGAATTATAGCGACAATAACCAGAGAACACTGATATAGTACGTAAAATGATTAAAAAGATAAACAAACAAATACATGAAAATAATAGAACATATAGAACAAAAATAACAAATAAGATAACAAATACAGTTGGGTATCATATTTCTTAAGTGAACAGAGACAAGAACAACAAAACACAGCAAGTTTAAGTAGTGAAATAAGATAACAATATTGCGCAGAGTTTACCGTGCATTACAAAATCGCTTGGCCAAATAATGAGCAAGAGAAAATGAGAGAGAGAGAGAGAGAGAGAGAGAGAGAGAGAGAGAGAGAGAGAGAGAGAGAGAGAGAGAGAGAGAGAGAGAGAGAGAGAGAGAGAGAGAGCGAGCGAGCGAGAGAGAAAGAGAGAGAGAGAGCAATGAGGAGAGAGATAAAGAGAAATGAAAAAGGACAAAGAGAGAGAAAAGAAAGATTGAGAAAGGGAGACAGAGATAGACAGAAAGAAAGAGAGCGGGAAATAGAGATAGAAAGAAAGAGAGAGGGAAACAGAGATAGAAGGAAAGAAAGAGAGAGAGAAACAGAGATAGATAGAAAGAAAGAGATAGCGAGGCAGAGATAGAAAGGAAGAAAGAGAGAGAGAAACAGAGAGAGAAAGAAAGAAAGAGGGAAACATAAATATGAAGAAAGAAAGAGAGAACAGAGATAGAAAGAAAAAACGAGAGAGGGAAAAGGAGATAGAAAGAAAGAAAGAGGGAAACAGAGATAGAAAGAAAGAAAGAGGGAAACAGAGATAGAAAGAAAGAGAGAGGGAAACAGAGATACAGTGAAAGAAAGAGAGGGGGAAACAGAAACAGAAAGAGAGTACGAGAGAGAGAGAGAGAGATAGAGAGAGAAATTGATAAGCGCTCATAATTC